CAAATGGGATCTTTGTAGGTGTTGAGGATGTAATCACAGATTGCAAGTCTAGCAAAGTGGTTGTGAAAGGGGAAAAGGCAGATCCGCTCAAGGTTTTGAATAGGGTTCAGAGGAAGAGCCACCGCCAGGTGGAGCTTATTTCTCCGATTCCAAAGCCTCCGGCGGAGGAGCCTAAGAAAGCTGAAGACAAAGATGTGACCAAAGCTGAGGAGAAAAAGGAGGAGGTTTTTTCTTCTCTATAGTTTCTTATGAATTAGCTCCTATTAGTGTTCTTGTTGTTCTTGTGTTGGATATATATGTGTATTGAGGATGTCTCTGCACACACACAACACACATAGAAGCAAATTCTTGAAAAGTGAAGTCAAATTGAGTTGGCTCTATAGTTGCTTTGAAGATACTAATCAGATTTGCAGGGAAATGTTGCGGTTTCGTTACGGAACCATTCTGTCGGGGTTTGCAACCGTTGGATAATCTATCCCCATCTATCCCCGACAGTTATATTATGATCAAACGGTTACAAACCCCGACGGAATGGTTCCATAACGGGATCGTAGCATCTCCCCAAATTTGCATTATGCTTAGTCAAAATCATGAAAATTTAGTGGTTTGATGTTTTATTTATTTATTTTTTTGGATTGTTTTGGTTTGCAGCCTGTAGTGATTACAGTGGTGTTGGGAGTGTACATGCACTGTGAGGCTTGTGCTCAAGAAATCAAGAGGCGCATTCTCAGAATGAAAGGTAGGTGTGTGTGTGTGTGTGTGTGTGTGTGTGTGTGTGTGTGCATAGTTTTTTACTTTCCCTTTTTGTTTTCCCAATTTTTTACCTAATAGGAAAAGTTGCTATTTCTAATCTAAGCTTTGCTTTACTTTCATCTACATGATTGATTTCTCTTGTCTTCTAGTCTTTTGGCCAACACTTTTAAGCTGTGTATTTTGCTTTTTTTTTTTTTTTCAAGGGTCATTGCTTTCTTCCTTTTTTCTCCTCTTTCATCTCTTTCTTTATGGCATATCTCTAATATAGCAAAAGGTTTATTGTTGTTGGTATTGTTTAAACCTTTTCCACAATTCTATCTGTACTGTACACATTCTTTTAAATTGTTTGTGTTAATATATTGTAGTAGATTCCTTCATCTTGAGGTCAATTATCAATTCTAACAACTCGTGCATTACTCTATATGGAATTTACGAAATATACGAAACGATCAATTATGCAGGAGTCGAAAGTGCCGAGCCCGACCTCAAGAGCTCGCAAGTGAAGGTGAAGGGCGCTATCGAGCCAGAAAAGCTCGTCGACCATGTGCACAAGCGGACCGGAAAACACGCGACGGTCGTAAAAGTCGAGCCCGACAAGAAGGAAGACGAGGAGAAGGCCAAGGAAGAAGGGAAAGAGGATAAAAAGGGCGAAAAGGGTAAGGAGGCCAAGAAAGGGGCCGACGAGCCTGAGAAGGAGAAGGAGGAGCCGCTGCCTCCGGCTGCCGATTCGGAGGAGTCGAAGCTCGAAATGAAGAAGCATGAGTTGAACTATTACTACCCACCACAGCATAACTTGTACCCACAGAGGTATGTGCATGAACACTATGCATACCCACACTATGCATACCCACCACAGATGTTCAGTGATGAGAATCCCAATGCTTGTACCGTTATGTAAATGTTGGGGGTGGACGAGGGTAGAATGGGGATTATTCGGGTAGGGGGCACATGGTAAACTGTACCATGGTCCTTTTTTTTTTATTTTTAATTTCCTTTTTTTTTTCTTTGGTTTACTCTATGGACATGGTGTTGTGATGTGATCTACATGTGGTCCTGTCTGGAGTTTTTTTAAGTATAAAATCTACAGGAGACTGCAGTAGAATTTTGTGACCCTCGTGTACCTTTTTTTTTTTGGGGAGTTTTTTCTTTACTATTATATTGCTTGTCATATAGCCATATGAATAAATTGGAACTCTTGTTTATTAGTTTTCTTCGAGGGGTTTCATGTTCGAGTTTGTTCACGTTCGACGAACAAATTGTGTCAATTATAATGATAAATGAATAAAATGTTTGGCTCGAGTAATTTGGTTTATTGAAGTTCATAAAAGTTCGATTCGGTTTGGTTAATAAAATTTAATAAAATTTTAAATGAGTTGTTTGCAAACAAGAATATTCGTTCGTGCACAAGTTCGATAAGATTGTTTTAATTGAAACTCACCAATCTTTTTTTTT